GTATTCTAAACGCAGTGGTGAATATGCTCGTGGGAGTTGAGGCAGTAGTAAGAGAGAGATCTCATTCTCCCTGTTCCAACGGATGGCCCCGAACTTCATCGATCGTCGGTCTGTGGATGACCAGTGGTATTTTAGGAGCAAATAGTCAGTTAGCATTGTCCGATCGTTAGCACCGGTCAAGAGCCACGCATGGCTAGTTTTTATCGTTTAGATTAAGTGTCTATTGTTAGTTTAAGACAATAAATGTAGTTTGTGTAGTTAGGGTTTTTTGGTTAAATAGAGTGTTTTAATTAAGCCGCGAGTGTAGTGATTTTACGGCGAAAGAATTCCCCACCAAAAACCTATCGATTACTACCATTAACCCATTCGAAGAGACCGAGTGTTGAGGATCCACCCAGTCGAAGGAGCCAATTATCCAGTTCCCCAACATAAACTTTTAAATTTTTTTGGCGACTGGACGACGTGAAGATTTATTTGATCATACTACAGCTCCTACTGTTACTAAAAGTACGCTTAAAAGTTGAGTTTGTATATTATATTTAATAGTTTTTCAATCGAGCAGAACTTTTGACAATACTTACCTCATCCCATGCCTCTTCCATTTTAAAAACGGCACCAAACTTGGTACATCTCAATAAACTTTTATAACGTGCCGTGAGCCTTAACGTGCCTTACAGAATGTCATATTGTGTTTCGGCACCGTGTGCAGAGTTGATTCCCCCTTGATTTGGCTTCAGATTATCAGCTTTAATACTATGCTGTAGCTGTCAGTTTCGTCGAATAATTTTTCCTGAAACGGCAATAGCATTTTGTCTTTAGCATTGATTTCTTTACGTGTTTGAATTCACTGATTGTGAGCATTCGATGCCTGTACCATTTTTGCATTAGTATAGTATGATTGTGTGACAAGTACAATCATATTATATGTCCAGGGAAGTCGGGAAATTTTCGTGCCTTTACCGACTTAGCTAAGGGAAGCCCGTTAACAAATCATTCCAAAATTTTGAACAAATGTCTCGTTGCATTTTTCGTTACCGATAATACTTGTACTAGTAAGTACAATTGCACCTCTGATAAAACAAGACCTCTCAAACACGAGCCCATACCACAATTGACCCTCATTGAAGCGTAACATTTCGGCTTCGTTGCATTGTCTGCCTATTTCGTGCACACCCTTACAGAGGCTAAAAGGGAAACATGCGTTTAATTTGATTCGGAAAGAGAGCATCGAATCCCTCATCTCGACCCGATCGAACTTCCTTCATTGCTCCAATCCATCGATACCCTGAGCGGTGATAATGATATGTAGATTAATAAGTATAAATTTTGTTTTATCTACTGCGACTAATCGGAAAATTGTAATTTATCGCTTTCGGGATCCCATCAACATCATTTGTGATTCGTGTGATTGACACGCTTTTTGGTCGCATCGCCGGGCAGCGTTCGATTGATGGGTAGCATATTCCCGGTTCCCAAATTTTTGACATGTTAATTTCCAAATGACTGCACGCTTCTTTGTCAGGTGGCCTCGGTGCCTCCGAAAAATAAAAGTCGAACAGATGTTCCACACGGTTGCCTGACGAAAGATATTTTGCATTTCCGCGCACGTCATTGACATAATTTCGATTTCGATTGCAGTGGATTTATTTAGATGCACGCACATGTGTTCCGGGCTTTTCCCGGGTATCTGTCATCGTAAATAATTGGACCGTGACTCGGCGGATCTCCGGCAGGACAATCTAATCCTCCCAGCAGCAGAAGCAAGTGTGTAAATAGTCCGACTGACTGCGGCTCCGGGAGTCAATTCGGTAAAGTACTCGGAATTAACCTCCCCCCGAAGGCTTTGGGCGTTTTTGCTGTTGCTTCTTATGTCGGCGAGAGGATATCGCAAGTGCCGGTCAGGCAGCGGCGAAAGGTGACGTGGCATATTTGGACATAAATCACCCTCCCGGTTCCGGAGTCCTGCAGAGTGCGTAGATGATTATTCATGATCAGGATGAGGATACCTACATTTTGGCTGGCGAAAATAAAAATACTCTTTTTGTGTGAGGGAGCGTCGTTTTGGGCATAAATCATACCGGCAGGGGGAGATATATTGTCACGGAAAGCGGCTAGGCCATTCGAGTGGCCAGCATAATCCATTTATAATCGACGCAAATTTCCATCCGAACTAAGGATGTGTGCAGGATCAGTAGGAATCTGAGCAAAAATATGTGCTGTTTTCTTTGACAGAAAATTGATTTATCGGGATCGGAAAAAAAGTTTGAATGGTTGGAAGGGATTAGGATAGACTAATTTGTTTATTGGAGACTTAATAATCATAGTGTTCAATGGAGCGTACTGCTTTGCTAAATATACATAGAACAAAGTTTTGACTGTGTGTTACATAGGGGCCTCAGATAGAAATTTTCTCGACTTCCCTTAGCATAGAGTACCTACCTGCTTACCACACAATATACAAATCCAAGCATGCTTAATAATCCAGGCCTCAGTCGTTCGGTAAATTTTGAACTACAGTTTGAAAATCAGTGAAAACCCTAATAATAATTTGTAAATTTGCTCGGAACTTGTACAGACTTTGTTCAGTTTACCCAATTTATTTATAAAAAATAAATCTCATGTGTAACGGTCATTTTACCGGCTTGTTCTGCTGTTCAAAAACCCGGTAAAATTCTACAGAGTTCGGTGACCTGAACTAGGTGTGTGTAAAGCTCGATTCAAAGTAAATATGGACGCACGGATTAATACACCACCGCACCACTGGTGGTTGGAACATAAAACGTTTGACAGGCATTTGTTGATGTTTCATTGAAAAAAAAAATTGTGAAAAGTTTTTTTCGATTGATCGACGCATGCCGAAATTACGGATCATGGAACTTGAGAAAAGAAAATTAATTGTGCACAAACATCTAGAGAACCCTTCGTGGTCTGCTTCAAAAATAGCAACAGTGTTGAAATACCCAAATTCAACGGTGAGTCTTGTAATCAAACGTTACAAGGATATTCTGAGTGTGGATAGAGCACAGCGCATCTTTCAGAAAAGTGGCACTAGGGACAAAGAGCTGAGGAGAAAGGTGTTGAGGTACGGGAAAAGCAACCCAAGTGTCTCCATACCTGATTTGGCAAAGAAATACGATTCCAACTATTCCACCATGCGTAACATCCTTTCAAGAGAAGGATAATAGTCTTTTTGTACCAGTAAACATCCGAATCGCTCCCTAAAACAAAATTTAGTGGCCAAAAAGCGAGCATGATTACTATGCGAACGAGTTTTGACGAACTTTGATGGCTGTATTTTAATGGATGACGAAACATATGTCAAAATGGATTACAAAGAAATCCCTGGACGAAAATTTTACCTGGCAACTAGTCGTGGGGATGTCCCTTCCAGGTATAAATTTGTTTTTGCTGATAAGTTTGCTCGGAAACTAATGATTTGTGGCCTTAAAACCAAGGTTTTCATCAAATCTCACACAATGACGTCGAAGATTTACATTAAAGAGTGTCTGAAAAAGCGGATTTTACCCTTCATTTGGCAACACAAGACCAACGTTATGTTTTGGCCGGATCTAGCCAGCTGCCACTACTTTAATGAGGTACTAGAATGGTATGATGCAAACAATGTTAATTTCGTCGCCAAAGAGATTAATCCTCCGAATTGTCCTGAGTTCAGACCGATCGAAAAATATTGGGCAATTGTCAAGCGAAAACTTCGAGGATGCGGTAAAAAAGTGATAAATGCACAACAAATGCGTTTAAAGTGGAATAATTTCGCCAGATCATGATGGCATCGATCACAAGTAAAGTGCGACAGTTCGTTCGAAACGGTGAAATGTAATAACTTGTTATATATCGTTTGAAAGCTGAATAAATACCTTTTTTTTTGATGTTTTGATCAACCGTGCATATTGTTTAATTCTTGAGTTATGATCATTTGAAAGCGTCCAAATTTTCTTTGAATCGGGCTTTATGGCACAGAAACAACAGAAGCGTGAAACGCTTTTGTTACGTATTTCATTACTTTACGTGATCTATAACATGTACATGCAAACCAAAAGTTTATTACAATGAATGTTAGTTCCTTTTCCTCCTCTCTGTTCAGGAAAACCGCAGCGAATGGCAGAAGTTGACATCGTCTGCAAGATGCAATTATTTTTTATATTTTTTTTTATTGTTATGTATAACACGAGGGGTGGTCATTCTACACACTTATTTTGCGCCAACTTTTTTCTCAGTGTGCCACAGCTGTGCTGACAGTACCGAGAAGTCATTGAACTGACTTTTGTTTGCTTGTGAATAATGCCTTTTTTTGCAACCCGGTTTTTTAACAGCTCTTGTTTATGTTTTGTTTTTCAATGTTTACAAAAACGACACGGACTCCAGTTGGGACTACACATTGGAAGCAGCCATCTCCAAGGATGCCTGCAACGGACGAGCCTCATTGCTACACGATCCAACCATCAACAATCAATACGAAACTAACGATTTTAAATTGGCTCACTACTTGACTAGCCTATTGGTCCCAAGCAAACGATTAACGTACCCCATTCTAGTCGAAATTCTACTACTACGCAATGTTTGTTTTGATTCGCTATGAAAGTTTGACAGATAACATGAGGGGTTATTAGTTTTTCCTATGTTTCGAGGGTTGAATCGATTAGCTTGGGACCGAAGATAGTACCAGAGCTGAGCCAAAAAGTTGAGCACGTTATTTCGGGACCTTCTAGTCTTAGAGTTACCTCTATGCTACCATCTTCAGCGGAAAGCCGACCCCGTACAACGACCGTCAATTTTTAGTCAACCCTGGTCCTAAACCAGCCCTTCTGGGAGCCGGCGGAAAAACGGATTTGCATCGAATTTTTCACCGCCCGAGTTTCATCCGTCGGAAAACTAGAAACCAACATCTGCCGGAACACACGTCGGACTGATAAAGGACGCACCGCCGACCCGAAATGGACCAACCAACTTTAAATATTCAACCAGCACAGCAACAGGGCGCAATGATGATGGTCTACAGACTCGAAAACAACACAGCCAACACCGATAAGCTATTCAATCTGTACGAAAATGTCAGGATAAAGTTTCTGAAGAGTAAAGAGGGTACCGCTATGGTCCAGATGGGAGACGCCATCGCAGTCGAACCAGTCGAACAAGTCAAAGCAGAACTAGAGGCCACCAACCTCTACGCCCTGCCGGACAATTCGATCAGCTTCAAGGACTACAGCGCCTCCAAAAACAATCGCGTCCTTTCGTTGACTCAGGCCAGCAAAAATCGCTTTGTGCCACCGAGCAAGATTCTCCTCTGCTTCAATATCCCACCCGAATCTGCTGCTGACTGCATTCGCCACCAAGGACTGTCACCCGTCGCAAGTGTGAATGTTCCCGCTGAAATCGGAACGTTCCTCCTTCGGATTGGTCGAGTTCTCAAGCGTAGCCCTGGTGGTGAACGCCATCATGTGCAACCACAGCGCAATCGATCATAAAGGCACACGATTCCCGTTCATTATGAAGCTGTGTTTCTCCTCCTCCAAGACGATAAACGGTGCGTGGAGCAACGAGAACATCGAAAACATGGGCATGGGCATGGCACCAGCACCTGGCAACACAATGTCGGCAGCGGCCGCGACAACCGCGACACCGTCCGGTGGAGTGACGCCCATTTCGGTGCCGGGCGGTTGTCTCAAATCCGAACACGATGAACCAATGTAAGATGGAGTCCATGTCCTTAGAAAGAAAGCTAAAGCAACTACGTAACTCGTTTGTCAGCTCTCACCCCACTATCAACGATCATCATCGTCATTTTCTGCACCATCCAAGACCACACATACACCCCCCTCCTATGTAATGGCCTTTCCAACTCGATTCGAGACTACACGGCGAAAGATCGATCTTGATAACATCCACTTATTGAAGGGAGAAAACATTGAAACAATATCAAAGCTGAATTTAAGGCACAGTCCAACGTCCGTCAAGACATAAACTAAATAGTGAATTGCTAGAGCCACGGCTACACGAAGTAGCAATACTGCTTCCACGGCTGCGGATGCTTCCTGCTGCTGCTGGTCCGTCTACTCAAAAATTCGTCAAAATAATGTTTTAGGAGACGGACCAGGAGCAGCAGCATTAGAAGCAGCCGCAGCCGTGGGAGCTGCATCGCTAGTTCGTGTAGCCGTGGCTGGAAACCTCGGTCCGGTCACGATACCGCTGTCAGCTGTTCTTCGGACAGGCATCAGGATGGGCGCTGACCATTCGATTTTGGAGAATCAATGGCGAGACTTGGTGCAGATTCACGGTTGTGTTTTGAAACAAATTGATTATATTGTGGCAACATCAATAACACATTTTGACACCTGCACACTGCGCTGGCGCCTCGGCAAACGCAGAAAAAGTCCAGTGTTGCCAGTAGCTTTAAAGATCATAAAAATTGTAACCATGGGTGCCAAACCGTGCCAATGACTGTGTCCAAGCTTGTTTTTGGCACACTATGCGGAGTGTACAGCTCCTTGGTTCCAATAAACTTTTACAACACGACGTATAAAAAACATGAACTTCATTTTGAAACGTATTCATATCATCATCATTTCTTATCTCTAAAAATAGTTTCATGTCATCAGCATAAATAAGCACTCTGAGATTTTTAAAAATAAAAGAGATATCGTTAACGTACAAAATGAAAAGAAGAGGTCCCAAGTGCGAGCCCTGTGGAACTCCTGACGTGACTTGAATTGGGTAAGATTTTTTCTCGCTGAATCTTACAATTTGCTGACGGTCCGTTAAATATGACTTAATCCAGATGAGGAGTTTCATCTCAATTCCCAATTTTTTTTTTCTTATTTAAAAGTCTATCCAACGCTTTACTGAAGTCAGTGTAAAGAGTTTCTATTTGGTTTCCCTTGTCCATTGCAGTTAAAGACTTTTTCACATGACTTTTACTTTTCATTCGATTTACGCGCAAAATAATAATTGAGCGCATCGTAATATTTTGCACATTTCCTGGTGCCATTAATTAACCAACTAATGTAAATTAATCAATAAATTTAGAATATTGTTTTTGATTCCAAAAACTAGTTGAATTTGAGAAGAACACGAAACATAAAGGTGATTGCATTTCTGTTCGATTGCAATACTCTCAAATTTAATCTATTTTTTTTTCCTAGGATTTGTTTTTCGTCGATCTTGTTTTCCGTGCTGAGCACCAATGCTACCGACCAGCTACCGATGCCAGGAAGGCAGCTCCCACACCTGGACCCTACCTACCGACCCATCAACTCATGAACCGGGGACCAACGGCTTTACTTCCATTCCGAAGGAAGGCGTGATCAGAGATGTTTTGCCTCAGAACATCCCGGCGGCACTGACTGGGATTGAAACCAGGCCTACTGGGGTGAGAGGCAATCACGCTTACCACTACACCACCGGCGCCGCTAAAAAATTTAATTTAGTAAGAATAAGAAATCATCGGAAAAATCTAATAGGAATGTTCGATTGGCTCAGATTTTGATAGTTTATTTGGCTCAAAACATTATCCCCGCGCATCTCTCCCTCTGAGTATTTCTAAGGCTCTGAACCATTTGGTGGATTATTTTAACTCGAGAGCCACATGTGAAAAGGACATACAAACTTTTTGTAAACAAACCTAATTAGGCCCTTTTCTCGCCAACCGAGGGTCGCCCACGCAAACCAACAACATCATCGGGAAGGGGAAAGTTCCTTTACCCGGTGATGTTGATGGGTTGCGTTGGTGTCATATGGGTGGCGAGAAAAGGGAATAAGAAGCTTTGTTTACAAAAAGCTTCTATGCCCTTTTCACATGTTGTTCTTGAACTTCGTTATCTTTTAACCCTGCTATTCGAGCGTGGTTACTTCTGACAGACAAGAAGTTAAATTTTGACAACCTTGGCTGAGTTCTTGTCAAAAACTGGTCGATCAACACCACAAGGATTTTCGAACATATAAAATAACTTTCGAAATGTCACTCGTGGTTAAAGAGTTAAATTCAACTCGTCAAATGGTTCATAGCCTAAGGAAAACCAGCTCCTGTTATTTCGTAAATGGATTAGTATCCGGCACAAGGGGTAGGTCACTCTGCACTCCAATCTTGGGTCAACATTTTTCTCAGTGTGCCGCAAATTTACCTCTGTGTGCCACTGATGTGGTGATTGTGCCGGCATAGAGCAAGCTGTGATTTTTTAACATACGTATTGTATGGTATATTTGGCAACCCGGTATTTCTGACAGCTTGACTGTTTAGGTTTTCAATCGCAACGGCCCCGAAAATGTCGAATATCGTGCTCGATAAGGATTCCTTCTACCGACGAATAAAACGCCTCTACGCCAGCTGGAAGGAACCAGAGTTTTCCCATGATGATTCGCTGCAGAAGGTGGATTGCATTCTGATGGCGATCGGCGTAGACGAGGAAACCATCTTCAACAAATCAACCTCGATGAAGACTTCGCTGCTGGAATACAAGCTGACCGATACAATTACAGTGCTGGGCGAAAAGTCAATATTTTTCCTGACCAGCACGAAGAATGTCGATTTCCTGAAGTAGATCGAGAAGGACGATGAGGAGGTCGTCGGTGAAGCTATTGGTTCTGCAAAAGAACGACAAAGACAAGGCCAATTTTGAAAAGCTGATGGAGGCGATTAAGGGATCCAAGGATGGCAAAACTTTGGGCGTCTTCTCCAAGGAAAACTTCTCGGATGAATTCTGTGAATCGTGGCGAGCCTTCATCAATAACAAGAGCTTCGACACGGTGGACATCAGCGTCCCAATCGCGTACATTATGTGCTCCAAGGAGGACTCCGAGGTTATCACCATCAGACGGTAGAAGTATTCAACAAGTACCTCAAGGATCACATCATGGAGATTATAGATGCTGATAAGAAAGTAAAACATGCCAAACTGTCGGAGGCCATCGAGCAGGCTCTGACGGGCAAAAGGTACGTCTCCGGTGTGGATACCAACTAGTTGGACTTGTGCTACCTGGCGATTATCCAGACGGGTGGCAATTACAGCTTGAAGTTCAGTGCATTCAGCGACAAGTACTATCTGCACTTTGGATCGATCATCTGTGCTCTGGGTGCGCGTTACAAGTCCTACTACTCCAAACTCGTCCGAACGTTGCTGATCAATCCGACGGAAACGATTGATAAGCAATACACCTTTCTGCTCAATCTGGAAGAGAAACTGCTGAAAGTGATGGTTCCGGGCAAGAAGCTCTCGAGGGCTTTCGACGTTGGAATGGTTTGTACCAAGAAGAAGGATCCCAAGCTAAGACGTTCGGTTTTACCATCGGGTTGGAGAATTCGATCGTAGTACATCAACAAGTGAAAATCGGTTTAAAAAGTAAGTTAATTAGGTTGAGTTGAAACAATAACATTTCCGTGTGATTTTGCCGTGAAAATTAGTTCGGTATTGTTCAAATGAATTTGGTTTGGTAGACGACCAATTGACCGACTACTTTTCGCGGCACAATCACACGGAATTTGTATTGCTTCCACTCAACCTAATTAACTTTTATTTTTGTTACAAAAATCGTATAAAATGACACATTACCGAAAAAATAAACAAATCTTTTACTTAATTCTAATTGAAACCGAAATTTCACTTCAAATTTACAAACGTCGAATCGGTGAAAGGGTCACCGTTTTTACCCTTCACCGCCATCGAAGCATATCCATCGTTGCCCTAGTAGTTGGATCAGGAGTTCTTGATTAGGCAGTAATCTTCTCCTTTGAGTTTTCCGTATCCAACCGCCACCACTGCATGACCCAATCCATCCAAATTGTTCTTGTATTCCGGATCGCAGTACATTCGATTTGCGTACTAGCTGAAAGACTTGTGACCGGCATCGATAGCAATTGACAGCCCTAGAAAGCCAACATTTCTAATTTAAATGTAAACCGAGAAGTGCATTGCTAGTCTGAGTTCCTTTAGTATATTCAATTAGAGTATGTTTCTGAACCACACAGTCAAACAGCACGTAATGTTATGAACAACTTCAATGACAGCTGTCAAGCAGTGCTGCCATTTTATTCAATGAACAATCCAATGCCTACGAGATTGTGCCGAAGGTGTGCTGAAGGATGTGCCGAATCTACTTTCGGCACACTGTGCTGAGTGACTTACCACTTGATCCGGCAGCACTATGACCAACAATCAATATGTAACTAACGATTTTAAATTGGCTCCCTACTTGACTAGCCTATTGGTCCCAAGCAAACGATTAACGTACCCCATTCTAGTCGAAATTCTAGTACTACGTAATGTTTGTTTTGATTCGCGATAAAAATTTGACAGATAAAATGAGGGGTTATTGGATTTTCCTATGTTTCGAGGGGTGAATCAATTTGCTTGGGACCGAAGAGAGTACCAGAGCTGAGTCAAAAAAGTTGAGCACGTTATTTCGGGACCTTCTAGTCTTAGAGTTACTATGACTGTTGACTCGCTTCTCTTCGACGAGGTTGATTCTTACGATGGGACGTCGAAGGTTTGCTCAAGGTAGCCAAACATTTTCAATAAACACACAACGGGAAAACGATCGTCACGTACGCTCACGCATACTGTCACGATCTTATATGTGGTTCTAAAATATTAATTTTGTTAAATCTAAAATACAAAATTTTGTAAAATATAAAAAAATATAATAATTTACTTGTAGCTTCTAGAAATGGTTTTTGTTTAACTGCAGAAGGATATAAATAG